CAATCGGGAAACTTCACTTCACGTGGCACACACACACATCATCATCATCTACGCGAGCGGAATGTGCCACCGCGCATTGCTAACACCTGTGGCGATCAGTAAAAAAAAAACTCGTTGCGGTGCCAAACCCGAAGCGGATAATAATCGCGGAGCAGTATTGCTCCACGTGGCGGTTGTTTGTCGTTTACCAAACCACGCCACCACCGCCTCCTGTGCTCGTAACGCGCTGTCTCACCGCCGTGTGATTTATTGGAAGCCTCTGTGAATGCCGATTTTAGTTGACCTGCTGCGACTGTTTACGCAAAGCTGAACACTTAACTCTGTACGGGCATTTGTACACCCCCTCGTCATATTCCGATGCTGTTTTTGTCTTAAGCGTGCCGAATTGCGACGCCTTTCGTGAATCGGGTTGCCTGGAGAAGTAAAGATTTCACTTGCTTGGTTACTCTTTCACCGCTACCACTGCTACGTTTGGTCACTGTGTCCGTGAACTTCACACCTTGACACCTACCCCTGCTGCCGATGACTCATTTTAACAGATGCGCCGTTTCCCCTCATCCTTCCACCTCATTGTTGAAATCGACCTCTCTCTTTCCCCACACTGCTCGACTCAGAATTACATCGGATCGTCTCCTTTTTAAATTTTTTTTTAGCCTCGCCTCACTCGATTCCCACGACGCAGTTGTTCGTCTCCGCCAGCTTTTAACCGCTCCTCGGCACTGTCTGCCGCTCGCCTGTTTTGGGTTTGTAGGCCTTCAGGCCCGAGCACGGCGATTGTGCTCTAAAGCAATAATGGGCTCAGGAACGCGGCTTTAATTGAATTGGACACTCAGTTTCAGATCTGGCGCAGGCCCTGGGGGAGCAGAACATCAAGCCACCGACCCACCCCCCCTCTTCACTCTTCATAACCCCCCACCCTTTTTTCCACTCGAGGCGTCACAGAGAGCGACATCCCCCTCCCCACCACCATCTCCCGCGTGTTTATCTCAAACTCCCATCTGACAGCACAGAGCCGAGTCAGGCAGAGACAGGAGGGGGGGGGGGCATTGGGATTCAGAAGAGGTTGTCACCCGGCCTCTGTGTGCGTCACTGGCTGTTTTTCTCCACGCAGATTTGGTTTGAAGAAATTATTCGTGCAAATGGAAGTCAAGTGCCCGCACTTGTGTTTTCAGACAAATTGAGCGAGCTCCGGGGCTTCAGCTAAGCCAAGTAAATAATAATGACGATACCGAACAACAGGGTTGCGATTTGCGCACCAATTTCCGCAAACATGCTGTTTTCGACCGCATTTCGCGGTAGTTTCTGTGACCCTCTTCCGCACAAACTTCCGCAATTTGCGGTGATTCCTGGGAAGACTTCCGCAAATCGTGACTTCGATTCCCGCCTATACCGGTGCCGTACTCACGCGGTTGGCGCACATATCTCGCGTCTACCCACTTGCCTCTGCCGTAGCTACTCTATACCTCCTGCAAATAAATACACTTTACTGCTAACGATAATAGCTCATAACATCACACACAGATTCAAAAATGAGCAGCACCCCCACCACCAAGAGCAAGCCTATAGTCCTCGAGCGCTGGTTCCTCGGCCGCCTGTGGCTCATGTACGACGAGGAGAAAAGCGCCTTCTTCTGCACCACGTGCTCTGCCGCCGGGCCGAGGTCGTGCATCTTCCACAAGGGCAACAAAGGATATACCCCGGGCAAGTTTTCCCTCGACCGCATCGTCGACCACGGCGACAGCATCGGCCACCTCAAGGCCGCCGAGACGCTCCGAGCGAAGTCGGCCTTGGAGTTGGCCTTCCAGCGCAGCGGCGAGCAGGAGCAGAAGAGCATGAGCGCGGCGGCCGGCGAGTCGGGCGCCGCCGACTACACGCTCTGGCATTCGCACGCGCTGCGGTGCGGCTACTTCATTGCCAAGCACAGTCTGCCCTACTCGATGATGGAGCACATCTGCGGCCTCGTGCAGACCAGCATCAACTCGTATGCGGGCAAGCAGGCCTTCTCCACTGCCAGCGGCACCTACGGCTCATACTGCTCGCGCGACAGCGCAGTCGACATGGTGGAGATCTGCAGCACGTCCATCTTGGAGAAGACCGTGCACGAGATGCGCGAGGCCAAGTTCTTCTCGATCAGCTGCGACGAGAGCACGGACGTGGCATCTAGCAAGAACGCCGTCGTCATGGGCCGCTACGTATACTGCAACGCCATTTGAATCCGCATGCTCGGCGTCGTCTCCCTTTCGAGCGGCAGCGCCAAGGCCGTCTTCGACGCCATCATTGAGCTGCTCGATGGCCGCGGCCTCGACATCGAGGACCTCATCGGCTTCGCGAGTGACGGTGCGTCCGTCATGACGGGCTGCAACACGGGCGTCGCCGCCCGCCTCAAGTCAGTAGTTCCACGTTTGGTTTCGGCACATTGCCCAGCGCACCGTGCTGCTCTTGCGGCAGAAGACGCTGAGAGCGAGTACGAGGAGGAGCGCATGCTCGTCGTCGCGGGCATCTACAACTACTTCAAGAGGTCGCTCCCGCGCAAGGAGCTGCTCAGCGCGGCCATGGACAAGCTCGGGGCCCCGCACCTCAAGCTGCTCCTCGGCGGGTTCACGCGCTGGCTCTCGCGCGGGCAGTCGTTGCACAACATGCACCGCCTCGCCCAGTCCGTGGCCGAGGTCCTCGCGGACGACACGAGCTCCGTCGCCGCCGCCAAGTACTACAGCTACTTGCGCTGCGTGGCCTACCACGTCTGGATCGCGCTCATGTCGGACGTGAGCGGCATCCTCAACATGCTCAGCACGGCGCTGCAGGCCGACGACATGCACATCGTGAGCGTTGGAGGCATCGTCGCCGCGACCGTCCTGCAGCTGCGCTACACCTTCTTGACCACTTTGACGCTCGACACCGTCTCGACACCGGCGCTCCTCGAGCTCAACGAGCGCCTCGGGGGCAACGTGCAGTCCGAGGACGAGGACGAGGTGGCGGCGACCTGTCGCGCCGGGGGCGAATACGTACAGCGCCTTGTTGCTCATCTCGAAGAGCGCTTCCCAGAAGAGACGCACTCCACGGTACGGGCGCTCGCCATGCTGTACCCAGACGAGATCGCCAAGGCGGCGCACATCCAGACCTTTGGCGTGCACGAGATCGTCGCGCTCGGCAAGACCTACCTGCCGGACGCCTCCTCCTCCGAGCTCGTGACGGAGTACAACCACTACAAGTACTTTGCCATCGGCAGCTTCCGCGGCGTCGGCGCGACGGAGATCCTCAAGGTCGTGTGCAGCAACTCGCACATGCAAAAGTCCCACCCCAAGATCCTCACGCTCATCAAGATCGCTGCGACTTTGGCGCACGGGTCTGTCGACTGCGAGAGGGCCTTCTCTCTGCAAAACAACATCAAGACCGAGGAGCGGTCGCTCTTCACGTGCAAGCAGTTGAACGCGCTTATGGTTTGCGCCCGCGACGGACCAAAACTCAGCAACTTTGATGCCGAAGACAACATGAAGCGCTGGAAGAATGCGAAGAAGAGAAAGTACATTTGCTCGTAATCACGCTCTGCCTTTGAATAAAGTACATTTGCTCGTAATCACGGCTCTGCATTTGAATAAAGTATGTGGTTCTTGTGCGGAAATGCGGAAATCATATATTCATTGCAATCAGTAGCTCAAAGCCCTGCGTGATGTTGGGCCTTGCATATATCCTTTCCAATAGAACGCATTAACGTGTTGTTAAAAGCACGCGGTCACAGGAGTAGTCTTTCCACCGTTTGCGGTTGACATTAGCAGAAATGCGGGAAAAATTGAACCCTCCTTCCGCATTTTCCATGCCGAAATCGCAACCCTGCCGAACAACAGGTTGTACGATCGGACGGATAGGCTACACCCCCAGTCTGTATATCAGGCGGGGTCCAAGTGCATGCCGGCTTTGCAGGAGCTACCGTTGTGCGAGTGCCCGTGACAAGGCTCGTGCCGCTGCCAAGTGATTGACGCGAGAGAGACGCGCCCACAAGAGCGCCTGCTTATTTGGCTAAATGGTGATGCCACCGCTGCTCGTCTTGCCTGGCGCACACAGTGAACTTACCGAAGTGTGCGGCCACCACGGTTTTCTATCTTCCCTGAAGGGTGGGCGGTGGGCCCCTCCCCACCTTCTGTGGCGACGCAGCGTGGCCGATTAAAAACACCAAACCTATTGGGCTCCGCATTGATTTCGCATAGGTGTTGCGTTTGTATTCTGTGCGCGTCCCCAGGTGAATTGCCGTCGTGAAATGCCATTAAGTATTGCGCCACAGTCGCGAGCTGTATAATTATTGTGTTATACCCCTGCTGTCCCACGGTGCTGAGGAAGGTATTTGGAATGTCTCTCCTGGCATATTTAGCCCCCGCTCGTTTGCGCTGCCTATTTGTGACGTTATTTAACGTTAACTCTTTTTTTAGAAGAAGATAAATGTTTAAACCCAAAATAATCTAGTTTTTTTTTTCAACGACCACCAATAACGGCTGCTTACAGAAATGAGCCCTTTAGGTAATCTTATTGGTTCTCTGTTATTTAGAGAACATTTTAAGATTGTCATGGGTTGAGATTTCAAATTCTGGTCGGGGTTTTTAGCCAGCCCATCATCTCTCCTGGGGTCGATAAAAAAGCAAGTCAACACAATGGTTTTTCTATGGATGGACTCGCCCCTGCCATAGAAATGCATAATTTTTACCACAGCCTCAGGGCTGTCAAACCATAGATGAGCACCAATGCCAAAGCGCTCATTTGAGCAGCATGACACCACTCTGGCTTTTGAACAGCCGCGTACAGAGATCAGCCTGAATGTTAGACAATGTGGTTAATCTCATTTGAGGCTGTCACTGAAGTCTGGGTATTCACACTCTTCGTCACCCTCGAATAAAACGACGTGTATATTGTCCGCGGGACGTACCTCATGGTCGGGGAGACTCATCGGTCTGCGGCGCACGCGCCTGCCTGCATGCGTGCGTGTGCGTTGTGTGCGTTCGCGTGTCGCGCAGGAGGAGCATGAAGCGCTCGGCCTCCTTCACCTGCCCCTTTGACGGGAGGTGCAGCATCACCAAGGACAACCGCCGCCACTGCCAATCGTGCCGGCTCAAACGCTGCAAGGACATCGGCATGATGAAGGAGTGTGAGTGGACAATGAAGACGTGCAAATGTCCTTTCACTACACAACAGAGTCGTGCCGGGACCCCATGTCGTGCAAGCCAAAAAGATTTTCCGTGTCGCGAGCGTCGCACGCGGTCAACGAGTCGAGATGCGCGTCGGTGACGCGGCGCCTCCGCCGTTGTTTTAGTGGCGCTAACGTACATTGCACACGAGGAGTGTCGCCATTAGTGCTGTCCCTGAGCCCGAATCAGATGTCTTACGAAGCATTGTATAACGGTTGGGTTCTGGATTGGCTCGGCAGGATAGCCGGTGGAAAACTAACCGTACCATGAGGGGCCCCCTGACTCTTTCTTGGCTCGGATGTGCAGGTGGAAAAGGGACAAAAGACAAAGGTCACCCCCCCCCCCCCCCTCTCAAATATAACCTACACGGGCTTTTGGGGCAAGTGCTGTTAGCGAGAACCTAATGAAGGCTTGAATGGTGGACATTTTGTCTACACAGTACTGATGTTAACGGATTTCCAGGCACTCATTTAAGGCTGATCCGACCTACGGGAGGTGCAGGGACCAATTCAGATATTTGCTACTGATGATGTTCGTGGCCGGTAGTCAAATGCGGGTCCCTGTGCTCGTGCTACTAAGTTGGACTGACAAAAGGGTCGTAGTGCCCTCCGCCCCGCATTACACTAACCACTACTCCACTGCTCTATCCACGCATGCACGCATGCACACGTGCACGCATACACATCCGGTCTGTGCTGCAGATGTGACCGTTCAGAACTGGGTGGAAAAGGGAGCTCAAAAACAACACGTCAAAACGAAACAAATCTCTGACTCACCATTGGAACCTCCTTTGCCAGTAGCAAAATATGATAATTGTTTTTTTACCCTTTTATCTGGAAACAAAACTGACACTTTTTTTTATAAGGAGTCTCTCTAAGAAAAGCTGTCTCGGGTGTGGACCAATCAATTTCGAGGACAGTGCATACATTATCAGAGTTGTGTTTTTTGTTTGCATTCCGACCGCAGGTATTGTGGTCAATGCAAACATGACTCCTTGTAAAAAAAAGGTGTCAGTTTTGTTGCCAGATAAAAGGGTTAAAAACCAATCATATTTTGGTACTGGCAAAGGTGGTTCCAATGGTGTAAATGCTTACCCCGAGCTCTCATTCTCTGATGGTGCATTGTCTTTGAGTTGTGCGCCTTTTGGCGTCATCTGGTCCAACACCATGTGAGACTAGGCTTTAAGAAAAGCTGTCTCGGGTGTGGACCAATCAATTTCAAGGACAGTGCACACATTAAATTTGATTTAAAGCTTTCGTGACTGCAGGGATTCATCTTCTTGGTTTTTTCGGTAAAGTCACGTAGAAGGGAAATAATATTATGTATAATAATATTATGTTTTATTTTTATTATTTTATTATTTCCCTTCTACGTGACTTTACCGAAAGAACCAAGAAGAAAAAAAGTGCATACATTATCAGAGTTGTGTTTTTTGTTTGCATTCCGACCGCAGGTATTGTGGTCAATGCAAACATGACTCCTCGTAAAAAAAAGATGTCAGTTTTGTTGCCAGATAAAAGGGTAAAAAAACAAATTATCAAATCTCTGACTGCAGTGCAACCGTGGCGCGCGTCAAGCGCACACAACAGAAACGCGGCATGTTTGTCAATAGCCACTGCCTTCAAAGGAAACATTATATAAAGGGGCGACATTTCAGACCGTGACCCCTCTTTTTTATGGCACATAAGCAGACTATGGTTGTTAAACGATAACCGCTAAACTGGTAACCATTTTCACAATCCGATTTACCGGTTCTGAAAGTCGAGCACCGGTAATTTTATCCAGTGGAATTTCGGCAAATGAACTACACACCGATTTGGTGGACGCGAAAGTACAAGCAGCACGGCGGCATAAGTTACTGCGTGGTTGCATGTGCCCTCGCTTGCAGCCCTGCCATTGCTCACTGGCTCAGTCACTCAGGCCACTGCTGGTGAAATGGACTCTACGAGAGGGAGCGCTCGAGGGTATTTGTCCTACTCCTCCACGCTGACCAGATGTCTCGGAAGAGACGGGGGCATACCCTCACTTTATCCCGCCACATGTGACCTGCCGATCCACTAACCTTGGCGAACCCATTCATGCTTCCGGGTTGGTAGAAGCACGGGTGGATTTTTTTCTTTAATAAAACCTTAACCCCCCCGCATTGTTTCAACTGCTGTGGCAGGACATGGAATGAAACCAGCGACCACTGTGCTAACTCATAAACCATGGCGGCTCCCCTTAATGTTCCTTTAAAAAAAAACTATTTAGGTATTTTATTTGCTCGGCGGTTTCATTTTACGTGGCAAATCCTGTAGAATGTAGTTTTAGCGGGTTTTTTTCCCCGTGCAATTACCGGTAATGTAAATAATACCAAATGTAACCACCCTCAAAGCAGACGCTTTTGAGGCTTGCTTGGGATCAACTGCGCGCTGCAGGGAGCGTGCGTAACTGCTCGGTGTCGTGCGTGCACCTGAGGCGTATTTGATCTCTCTGTCGTAGCAACTTTGAATGACCTCTGCCCGACCGGGTTTGTGTGTTTCCCCCCCCCACCAACCCCCCCGCTAAATTGTGATTGGTTATCTCATGAGCGTGAAATCAAATATCCGGCTAACTTTCTAGGCTTACAGTGAGGCAGCATGGTTGCCAGAGTGGTAACATGTGTTGCCTCACAGCAAGAAGGGCCTGGGCTTGATTCCCAACCTTGGTGCCTTTCTGTGTGGAGTTTGTACTGCATTTGACAAACATTCCAATGCCGAAAATTTACTTGCAAATTATTCAGAAGGAATTAACACATGGAAACATTGTCTCCCACTCACACAAACTTGGCAGGACCCTATGAAAAGGAGTCTTGAGACTGGGTAAACAAGCGGAATAATAATAATATTACATTTTTGGGCAGTTTGCCGTGTTGAGTGGCCCAGACTAGTCGCTTAAGAGTCGGAGCCTGGCATTCACACTGCATGCTAATAGCGGCTCGTTTTTGACAACTTGCGTTGATTACACTGGGCACTTCGTATGTAGATACATACGTATGAGTGTAGCCAAATAAATAACTCTTCAGTGGAGCCCATCATTGTGAGTTTGCCTAAAAGAGCACTTATTCTTGGTTCTGAAACGCAATAGCTAGCAGAAAGATTGCTATCCATCACGTAAGCTTGCTGCAAGATCACCTGTGGCTCCACCTTTCATCCCAACCTTGACAACTCCCCTGGGCCCTGGCGTCAAGTTGTGCACACAGCGCTGACGTATGTGAGTGCGTGCCTATCTGTCAACCTCGAGGTGAACCAACCGTGGCCCTCACTGCAGTCCATTCTCATTTGCTGCATTCCTAATTAATACAAAAACAACAACAACAAAACGTATAGTGCCATAACATATGAGGCCATTACAAGGCCGCTGAACAAGCGACAAAAGCGTTACATGTGAGCCATTAGTCCATAGCAATGAGCAATAGATAATGCACTTGATCCAAGTTGCAGCAGATGACCAAATCACCCAGAATGTGACCCATCTCGTCAGAATAACAGAAGCTAAGCAGGATGGAGCGTGGATAGTGACGACAATGCATAATAACTGTTGACGGAGGCTACTGTGGCGTTACATTGTCCGCAGGCAGGCAGCGCAGCAAAATCAATTGTGGTACTGCACTATGCCTCATTGTCTATGCTACCCGCCTACAACCCGCGCTGACCGCCACGGTGAAATATGATCAAATATTTAACACCCTATGACCCACATGGCGTTGGGAGGCTTTCATGCAGCAGTGGATTAACACAAGGGCTCTAGATGTACGTGTACTCGAGTCACAAAAGGCTAAATAGTGAAGAGTGCACAAAGCAACGTGGATTGGTGCATGCTTGGATTACATTTAGACATATAGGACACGTGGATCAGATGATATTTGCGAGTTATGTGCATGGTCAGTTTAACACGTAGGCTTCCGGGACCAATATTATCCATAAGAGGTTTTATTTGGGTTAGAGTGCGTAAATATAAATGTGGTGTTAAACCCGCCACCACCCGACACAGCCAATTAGTAAGGTTTGTCACGTAATCGAATTGTAAATGTTTTGGATTTGCTCTCCAACACACCGGTGTGCTGTACTAGTAACGAGTTGGCATGATTTGTTTACGTAACAAATCTTACTAATTGGCTGTGCCGGATGGTGGCGGGTTTAACGATACATTTATATTCACGCGTTCTAACCCAAAAAAAGCCCTCTAATTGATATGGGAATGCTGTGGTTACTCTCAGCTCTTCCAAAACGTCCGACCAGCATGACAGAGTTACCCAAATACCCTCGATAGAGCGGTCCCATGGAGCGCCCTCTGAATGGAGGCCCTCCCGCCAGCAGTGTCGTGAGCGAGCAGTTTCACAGGCTGCACCTTTCCCTTCACTGGAACATTCAGTGCAGGTGCTGTGGATGTTGAATTTCTTGTTTGGCGGTGTTGTGAGGGATGTGGCAGTGTATTTGTACGCACGTATGTTCAACTTCTTTTGTACCGTACATAGCCAACCGCGTTAATCGAAGGTGCGGGGGATAGACAACAAACTAAACACTAAAAGCAGTTCTAAAGAAATGAGTTTTCAATCTCGATGATTTTAAAGTGCATAGCTCCAGTGGCTTTCCTATTTCGAAAGAAAGAGCATTCCAGACGGACGCAAAAGCTCATTTTAAAGTGCGGGTTGCAGTGACCGGCTTTCTTCGATGGTTCGCCAAAATCTGCTGCGAGGATGACTTTGGTGGGGTGGGGCGGGGGTGTGCGGGAAAAGGGATGCCTTCATCCAGCAGTGGATTGGTCACGGTGATGACGAATAAAGAAGAATCGAGAACAGTTACTTCTCCTGCACCTGCCGAGTCTTCCGGAATTCTGTTTGAGTCTCCGTTAGGAGATGCGGCAGATCTGTGATCGTCAACCACTGCTCGACCCGTAAAGAGCTGCAGCGGATTTTATGAAAATATGCAGATGGTGCATC